GTGCTTGGATCGGATATGCATCGTATTTTACACGTAGCTTGTCAAGATGACCAAGCGTTTCGTAGTGCTCTGTATAGCAGAGAGCCGCCGTCGTTGACTTCCGTTGTTCCCCAGCACCAAGGTTTTGTTTTAGCTCTGCGTTCCGAGTGAAACAATGGCGGACGGATCTTCGTCTGCAGGCTTTCATCAGTAGCTATGCGTTATCAATGCCACTCCTCATTCTGTGGCAATAAAACACTGCCTGACAGATCCAAAGAGGTCCAAAAAAGCGCCGCAGTAAGAGTGCCAATGCCAAAACCTACTGCATACCTATGCCAATTTTCTGTCCTAAAGCCATTCATTCTAGGCTAAGGCCAAGAGAGAAGCAATCAACTTTTACCCCTCTGGATGAATATTGACGAATAAATTGAAAATTGAATAGTCTTCGAGGACAGGTCTTGAGATCAAAGATGAGTAGGACAGCATGGTGCTGAATTATCTCGCGGGGAGCTACCTGATAATGGAAGCTCATCCGATAAGTATAGTTGGGCCGAGGACACTAAGTGCCATCGGACGACTTCATGATGTAACACGTATAGAGGCTATATTTGCTGCCATAGGGTGGCCCGCGTCCTAAACAGGCAATGCCAAAAATCCTCTACAAGTAACACCACTTGAGGCATTACAACGCTACTCATATTGTTTAATAGCACTATTTTTACGTGTTTATATTGTTGTCCTGTTTGCTATTTGACAATTCGTGTTTCTGAGTTTTAAAGAAGGTTTGTTTGAGTTAAAAAGGGTTATCAGTCCAAGTTAAAATATATTGAACAAATAGTCCCAGGCATAAATGGGCACCGACACATCAAATCAGTCACATAAAGAATGCCGCCCCCTCCCATCCTACATCTGTAAATTGGTGTGCAAGAGAGGTGGATCGAAATGCCCATTTCCGAATCCAGGAGCTATGGCATAACACATCCCAAAACACCGCCAAGCTGTTCACCGCAAATGCGATCCAGTAGCCTATGACAACCTGGTTTTTGACGACCGCAAGACCATGATCCGGACGCCGTTTTAAGGCTTGTTTATAACTGATGGCGCCCAGGGAAGTGCCAGTGAGGGGGCAAAAACTTATGAGGAATTGATCGCACCTTGTCAAGTTATCTACTCTTCTGTTGTATTGCAATGTACTTGCACTAGCCTGATGGTAATATTTCGAGAACGCACATGTTTGACAACTGATTTCTTGAATACTGACGCGAGTGCTTACTTAACATCAGAAAAGTCTGTAGTTAGGAAGAAAGAGGTACTCGATTGACGAGGCCAAAGGACGGCTTTATATCGGGACCAAAACTAGCTAAAAGTTTTTTAAAAAGAACGAAAATGTATTTACATAAGCACCCTGTCGGGCCGCAAGCAGTTTATGCAACCACAGTAGAATAAAGTCGAAAACGGCAATCGTGAAAGAGACTCCAACTGAGTTCTTTGACCACTACTGCTTGAGGAACATCCCTGAAGTGAAGTACACTGACTTCGTCTCAAATGAGATAGTCCGCACTCGCTGTGACAAAATCACAAGGATATCCCAGGCCATTCAGGAGAGACGACGGATGTGTTTTGGACACTTTCTTCGTCGTCAATCTCAGGAGCTCAGTGCTATTGCCCTCGAATTGGAACCGTTACCTAACTGGAAACGACGAAGAGGGGGTCAACTCAAAACCTGGCTCAACTCAGTCCGTCAGGACATGG